CCCAGTATAAACCAGTAGTGTCCCCGCCCCCCAGGTGTGTCCCCGCCCCTCACCTGCCCCCAGGTGAGTCCCTGCCCCTCACCTGCCCCCAGGTGTGTCCCCGCCCCTCACCTGCCCCCAGGTGTGTCCCCGCCCCTCACCTGCCCCCAGGTGTGTCCCCGCCCCTCACCTGCCGCCAGGTGAGTCCCCGCCCCTCACCTGCCCCCAGGTGTGTCCCCGCCCCTCACCTGCCCCCAGGTGTGTCCCCGCCCCTCACCTGCCGCCAGGTGTGTCCCCGCCCCTCACCTGCCCCCAGGTGTGTCCCCGCCCCTCACCTGCCCCCAGGTGTGTCCCTGACCCCCAGGTGTGTCCCGCCCCCTCACCTGCCGCCAGGTGTGTCTCACCTTGCGGGCTGCGCGTGCTGCCCCAGCCGGACACCACGCACCTGTCCCCCACCTGGGGACACCTGCGGGGCAGCGCCACGGGCTGCACCCGCGCGCTCAGGTGGGCGGGGCTGCTGAGGCGCAGCAGCATGACGTCACTGTCATGGCGGCCGGGCAGGTAGCGCGGGTGCACGAAGGCGCGCGCCCAGGTGAGGCACTGCTCCGCCCCGTCGCGCTCCTTCAGGTTGTGCCCGCCCAGCAGGACCCGCAGGGGGCTGCACAGGTAAAGGGGGCACAGGTGAGCGCAGGTGAGCTCAGGTGAGCGCAGGTGAGCTCAGGTGAGCTCACCTGGGACAGGTAAATGGGTGATTATAATGGGACATGTGAGGGGCAGGTGAGGGACAGGTGAGGTCCCATCAGGCTGTGCCCGCCCAGCAGGACCCGCAGGGGGCTGCACAGGTAAAGGGGGCACAGGTGAGCTCAGGTAAGCTCACCTGGGACAGGTAAATTGGGTGATTATAATGGGACAGGTGAGGCTTGGTGTGACCCAGTGTATCCAGGTGCTCCCAGGTGCACCTCAGGTGCACCCAGGTGAGTGCCCAGGTGTGCCCAGGTGAGTGCCCAGGTGTGCCCAGGTGTGTTGTATCCCCCTCAGGCATACCCTAGGTGTACCCAGGTGAGTGCCCAGCTGTGCCCAGGTGCGCTCACCTGTTGGTGCGGCAGTGGGCGGCGGTCAGCACCCAGCTCCGCCCCACCAGCACGCCCAGGTGTGCCCAGGTGTGCCCAGGTGTATTTTATCCCCCTCAGGCGTACCCTAGCTGTACCCAGCTGTGCCCAGGTGTGCCCAGGGGTGCTCACCTGTCGGTGCGGCAGTGGGCGGCGGTCAGCACCCAGCTCCGCCCCACCAGCACGCGCAGGTGTGCCCAGGTGTGTGACCAGGTGTGTTGTATCCCCCTCAGGCATACCCCAGCTGTACCGAGGTGTACCCAGGTGTGCCCAGGTGTACCGAAGAATGAGTATGGACCAGTTAGAACCAGTAGAAACCCATTAAAACCAGTAGAAACCCGTTTGGACCAGTTCATCCCAGTACCCCCAAAGTGTCTCCCCCGTTCTCATCCACCTCCACAGCTGCTGTGGACCAGTATGGACCAGTCTGGACCAGTTAGAACCAGATAGAACCAGTACAGACCAGTTAGAACCAGTAGAAACCCATTAAAACCAGTAGAAACCAGTTTGCACCAGTTCATCCCAGTTCCCCCAAAGTGTCTCCCCCGTTCTCATCCACCTCCACAGCTGCTGTGGACCAGTATGGACCAGTCTGGACCAGTTAGAACCAGATAGAACCAGTACAGACCAGTTAGAACCAGTAGAAACCCATTAAAACCAGTAGAAACCAGTTTGCACCAGTTCATCCCAGTTCCCCCAAAGTGTCTCCCCAGTTCTCGTCCGGCCCCGCGGCCACTGCCGACCAGTATGGACCAGTTAGAACCAGTTAGAACCAGTACAGACCAGTTAGAACCAGTTAGAACCAGTTAGAACCAGTACGGGCCAGTTAGAACCAGTTAGAACCAGTATAAACCCATTAGAACCAGTATGGACCAGTTAGAACCAGTACGGAGCAGTACACGCCAGTTAGAACCAGTAGGGACCAGTTAGAACCAGTACAGACCAGTTAGAACCAGTTAGAACCAGTACAGACCAGTTAGAGCCAGTATGGACCAGTTTAGCCTGGTGGTCTCCCAGTTCATCCCAGTATTTTCCCCAGTTCCCTCCCAGTCCCTCCCAGTTCCCTCCCAGTCCCTCCCAGTCCCTCCCAGTTCCCTCCCAGTCCATCCCAGTTTATCCCAGTTCATCCCAGTCCCTCCCAGTCCATCCCAGTCCATCCCAGTCCCTCCCAGTTCACCCCAGTCCATCCCAGTTTATCCCACTTCCTCCCACTCCTTCCCAGTTCATCCCAGTTCAAACCAGTCCATCCCAGTTCCCTCCCAGTGCTCCCAGTGACCTCTCACTTCCCTCCCAGTTCCTCCCAGTCCCTCCCAGTTCCTCCCAGTCCCTCCCAGTTCCTCCCAGTCCCTCCCACTCCATCCCAGTTTATCCCAGTTCATCCCAGTCCCCCCCAGTCCCTCCCAGTCCCTCCCAGTCCCCCCCAGTCCTTCCCAGTTCCCTCCCAGTTCATCCCAGTCCCTCCCAGTCCTTCCCAGTTCCCTCCCAGTTTATCCTCCCAGTC